CTTGTTTTTACAGTGCAGTTAAATGAAAACAGCTACTACTCAATTATTACCAGTTATGCTGGAAGTGTATTAAAGAACTAAGATCTTAGGATATTTCTCCTGAAGGCTATATCCAGTCATCACATACAAAATCCATACCGGGATTATTTTTAACAATGAAAATACAGGACGACGGATGCAACATGTCTGAATGAATAAACACCTCCTTTCTCTTGGCTTTAATTTTTTTAAAAGTGACTATGATGGATTAGTTCTTAATTATCAAGATACTTGAAATGTTTCACAAGTAGTTCTTGACTTACTACTAGAGGTGGGTCCAAAATTTCTGTTGCTAAGCGAGGCAATTGTGGTCGTAACTCGAGGATCGCCTGTTAAGTTATAACTGCTGTAAAGAAGACGGGAAGGCTTTCGTTTTTCTTTCCTTTTCTATTTTTCTGCTATTTCTTTTCTTTTTGTTTTTGTTTTGTCTTTTCCTTTTTTTTCAGCTTTGAGTTTGTCCTATTCTTGTATTTCAACATTTCAATCGATCAATCAGAATAGAGCCCAAAAGAACGTTTGAGATTCTATTATATTCTATTTTTTGAAGCAAAGAGTTGAATATTTTAGCAAACTGCAGTAGAACATAGAACAAAAGGGTAGGAAGGAACCTTAGAGGTCTTCCAGTCCACCCTCTGCCCAAGCAGGGGACCCTATACCATTTCAGACAAATGGCTGTCCAATCTTTTCTTAAAACCTCCAGTGATGGAGCATTCACAACCACTGAAGGGGAAACATTCCAGGGGTTAATGGTTAATTTCAATAACATTAGAAAGAAAGAAAGAAAGGAAGGAAGGAAGGAAGGAAGGAAGGAAGGAAGGAAGGAAGGAAGGAAGGAAGGAAGGATTGATTCTTGGGTGCTTCTCTGGTTAAACCCAACCTGTGAACCCCCTCTCGGATAATTCTTGCAAATCAATTCTTCTCTCCCCATCTACTAACTGGAGGAAATTTGGAGTTATGGATGGGGTTGGGGTTTTTTTTTGGGTTTTGTTTTGCAAAGCAGGGCGGCTGATGAAATCTTTCCGATCAAACCCGCCCCTCTCCAAAGCTTTGGTGTGAGATGCTCAACTGCATCCTGGCTGTTTTGGAAACATTGCGCCTTCTGCAGAGGAAGACTGCTGCACGCACACACACACACACACACACACACACACACACACACACACGTACACACTTATGGGAGGGGGACCAGGGGACCTCTGCACGGTAGGCTGTTGATGATCAGCGTGTGCAATTTAGAAAGCCCTAGGGAGCCACCGGTGAGACTCAGCGGGAACTAGACCAAAAAAATATGTTTTTTTGTTGTTTTCCACAGGGACCTTCGACACCAAGGGAGAATTATTGTGACCCACAGAGCACCGTCCTCGGAATAAACACAAACTCTAGTTTTCTTCCAGTCAGGCTGGGAAGACCGGGGGGGGGCAAACTCCTCCTGCCCAACTGGAAGGCTGGTGTTGACCCATCGGGTTTGCATCTATAGCGTTATCAACCCTGGTTGAAAATCCAGAAAGACTGGCAAGCTTGGGGCAAGGTGGACAACCCAACAAGGCAGACCCAGGCTTCAGAGGATAATTTGATCTGCAGAAAAAACAGTTGCTACCGACCTGCCTTCCATGGAGGGCCTGTATATCCTGCACGAGTCAAAAAAAGGGCTGGGAAAATATCTACAGACCCCTCACATCCTGGACATAAACTGGTTCAACTCTACCCTCAAAACGACACTTATGAGCCCTGCACACCAGAACAACTAGACACAAGGGGAGTTTTTCCTCGAACGCCATCACTCTGCTAAACAAATAATTCCCTCAACGCTGTCAAATTACTTAGTAAGACTGTAGTACTATTCTTCTTCTCGTCTTTCCCATTACCTATCTCTTCCCACTTATGACTATAACCGTGTTGCTTGTATCTTTACAATTTATATTGTTCTATTTGTTTTCCTTTTGGTTGCGTAGTAGTAACCTAGGTATGATTTGATTCAGAGGTGGGTATTCAGCCGGTTCTGACCAGTTCTGGAGAACCAGTAGCAGAAATTTTTACCACCTCTGGAGATTTTACAACATCCTTCCCCTGCCACGCCCACCAAGCCACGCCCACAGAACCGATAGTAAAAAAAAATTGAATCCCACCACTGATTTGATTGCTTATAGTAATCTATGACTATCACTAAGTGTTGTATCTTACGATTCTTGATGAATGTATTTTATTTTTTCTTATGTACACTGAGAGCTTACGCACCAAAGACAAATTCCTTGTGTGTCCAATCACACTTGGCTAATAAAGAATTCTATTCTATTCTATTCTATTCTATTCTATTCTATTCTCTATCCTATCCTATCCATTTAAGCTCACACTGACTGCTTCAGTGACTCCATCCAGCCCCTTCCTTTTCTGTCATCTCCTCCTCCTCCTCCTCCTCCTCCTCCTCCTCCTCCTCCTCCTCCTA